CCTCAGACCGTTGACCGTTGCTAAAGAAAAGAAATGATTCAAATTAGCATACAGCGATAACAAAATACGTGGGAAACAAAGGGAGGGAAAGTAAACGAAAACAAACAAGGGAACCACCGTGCACCGTTGCTTATACAATATTGCGCTATCAAACCGTTCATACAGTTACAGTTCGGCTACAATTCAGCCAGATCATAGAGTTCATCAATCCTGTGCCGATTATCAAGCATGATCAAGGCCCTATTTACGCCGCAATAACAATCTAACAGGCACCTACCGGCAAGTTACGCCTCCTGAGCCCTCCAAAACCCCGCTCGGCCACATGCCTCACGTCGGCCGCTCAAATCATCCTTTGAACAAGCGGCAGGTTACCAGCATGGCCAGACAAATCTGGAGCTAATCGCTGTCTTTCCCTCCAGCGCTACACCAATACATGAGATATTCAAACAAACCATTGCGTACAGTGAGGCTATAACAAAATCAATGCCGACAAAACCACCCAGGATTATTATCCAACTCACCATTATTGACGCGGGAGCACACACATCGCACCACACCCTAGCCGGGGGACCGAATGGCGGCGCAGCGCCGATGCTGACCTGACCCAGCTCGCTGTCACGCCATAATGTTCCTACGCGACACGCACTTGAAAGTCGCATGATTACGAAACAGTCTCACCGAACATAATAATTACATCGAAATATGCTGCGTTCTCCATTAAGATAATTTACGTGCAATTTTATAACAATTTCATAATAACAATCGCTTGGCGCTGGTACTACTTTAATGATACGCCGCGCTGGCCCGGGTCACCGAACATTCTCGACCCGGCCGGCTGGCACCGAGCCAACTCGATAGAACGGTGGACGCAAGCGCACGGTGGAACAGATACAAAAGGACAATGGGATAAAATGAAATGGTAAGGAACGAAAAACACTGAATAGGATAAAAACGATGCGGCGCCTACAGGGACCATCCTTAGCATCCCCTCTCCTATCGTGCCCTCCTGCCTCCCCATGAGTCTTCCAACTAATCGGTAATCCCAAGGCATCCGTCCACTATCAATAAGACGACTAAGATCAAAGCATCTGCGTCTTAGATTATGCACTACCCTGGCCGGTCTGCACCTCAGCAGATAACCTACCCACCACGCCAGGTGGAGTGCATACGTTTGAAAGGAGCTCTTCCATCCAAGGGCGGCTGTTTGAGCGTCCGAGTAGCCTGTCCCACAACGGAACGCCAGTTCCAGGATCTAGTTGCTGTGGCGCAGCTGTCAGTGGTCGAATCAGCTCAATGTCACCACCTCCTTTTGTTTTCCTCTAGTCCCACGACCCTGCTATGACCTAATTAGCAAAAGATAAGTAAATAAATAAATAATTTATTGAATAAATAGATAGATAAATAAATAAATAAATAAATAAATAAATAAATAAATAAATAAATAGATAGATTAACAATTAAGGAACAAACAAGCCAGTAAACAAAAACCGACAGAGCTTATAAATCTCGTATATTATATAGTGAGCAATGCTTTAATTTGAAGTCCGTGAATTTTTAGTCTTCGAACGCCGTTTACCGCTTGTCGCTACGTGGCCGAGGAGCTCTGACAGGGTATAAAATAACCCAGCCTCAGTTTGTAACGATCGGACTACCGCGACCACCCTGACACGAATTATCCTCATTAACCACGCCCTGTGGGGGGAAGGGGGTTGAAGAACACCCCCTGCGGTTTTTCGTAAATATCTAAAAAGAAACTGCGGTGCTCCCGCCGCCGTTTTTCGCACGCATTATCATACATCTTTTCTGCACATTCTGTGACATTTTCAGACCAAGGTCATTCAAGGTCAGGTCACCAGGTCCCGTCAAGTGACCTCACCTCATAAATTGGTGCCTGAATTAGCTACATCGGGTGACCGATCGCTTTGAAACTTTTAGCGATTGATAAGAGCAAAAAAGAGCAAAAGCATATACAAAATGTACCTCTCGGAATTTTGATGTCGGTGACCTAAGATCAGGTCAATTTTGCGACCTCCAATTCTCCATTAGAAGTCAACGGGAGAAAATCGAAATACGCCTCCTTATGGACAAATGTCATTCTAAACACTCTCAAATACCGGATTACAAGTAAACATGACAAACTGAATTAGAAAATGGCACCCGTGGCCCGTGACCCCTCCTTATGTCCCTGCTAGGTCATCGCAAGTCACGAATGGTATCTAATAGTTTTTTTCGCGAATACAGTTTCATATATGTAGGCATGCTAGAGCGATGAAAACGCCCTAGATGTGTCCAGCTCGACGATACGGATCGACTGATATGCAACATGACCTTTTTCGGTCGGTCAGGTCAGGTTTTTCTTTTCGGTGTCATAACTGACCTGAGGTCAAATATTCAAGTTGACCTTTCAAGGTCAAGTTATAGATCATTTGATGCGCCTTGACGAGAGGAACACGATGCCGGTAAAAGTAAACTCGTGTAAGTTTTGAGTCAAAAGTTTTGGAGGAAAATGTTTCTTGCAAAAATTGTCTATTTTGGCAGTTCTTGCCCCCTGAAGGCAACATGGTTGACCTAAGGTCAACTCTTAGAGAAATGTCCAGAAAGAGCGTTAATAGTCTATCAAATGCGCTATTCTGGGCATGCAGCTCTATTGGTCTCCGACTTACTGGCCGGTTTGTTGAAAATTGTGACAATCGACCTGAAAATTAATGCAATTTGGCCTTCAATTACCTCTGGTGACCTGACATTTGACCTGACCAAAAATTGACCAAGGTAATTTCGTTATTATTTTTGACGCTCTTCCGAACGCCTCCTACCCCGTATCGCTACGTGTGGCCCAGGAGCCCAGTTAGAGGGGGAGGGAGTTTGTTCAAACAGCCCTACCCCAGCAGGGCGTGGAAATCCAGGAGCCCCAGTGACGCGGGTTGAAAACGCTTACAATCCGTGCATTTGATACGGCTGTAAGAAGACCTTGCCCTGCCATATTTTGCGCTACTCGCTCGATGGTACCGCTTTTTGATAGAAGGGATGCATTATAGCTGCATAGATGCATACTGCATAGGGATGCATGCATAGTTGGATAATGTTGATTTTTGTTTTCGATGCTTTGCACGCCTCACATTCTTTCCTTGCACCATACAAACGAGGCACATTTTGAGGTCAATTGAAATGTTTAAGCATTCGCTGCTCATTTAAAAAAAGTGCATTCATTGCAGTTCATGTACTTGATACTTCTGCATTGTGTTCAATGTGCCCGGTTCCGTATCCCTCGTCACTCTTCTTATGTATCAATGTACATACCTATGTATTATGTAGGTGTACACTACATATGTATTTGGTGACTGTGGTCCTCTGGCGACGTCGGAGCCAATTCTTACCGCGCTGCCAGACAAGACAGTCGACGGACCCGCCCTGTCCAGCAGCTAGCTCTGCCTAGCCTTACAGCGCCGTTCGGCTCATCGTCCAAAGTCTGGATATGGTCGCAGACCGACTGTCGCCGGAGTTTGCATGCTAACAGTCGTGTCGATGTCGGCTTCTGAGAGCTCGGCCGGCCTGGGACTCATTTATGATGTTTTTAGCGTTAAAGCTAACGGCGAGGAATGAGACGGGGATCTCTGAGCAACTGTAAACGGACTCCGACTGCTTCTGCTGCTGACTTAGCTGCTCGGTGACATTTTCTCAAGCATGGGCAGAGACATATTTGGAAGTTGATCGCTACGTTTGTTATCGCAATAGCCCTGCAACCATATAAATAAACAAAAAATGAATAAGTAGCCATAATCTAGGTGACGTGGGGGATCAGTGTGACCAATTTTAAAAGTCCATTTCATACGCTGCGACTTTTAGGAGCTACATTATTTACGCATCGATGCGGCTTACAGTATCTTCATACAGTAAATTTGTCCTTGCGAACTGACCTCTCCCGACGCTGCCACTATAGAGAGGTGGAGATGCGACCACATCTCAGTGCACCCGTCCCGGTGCTGCGGTCGCCGTCGGGACCACACGGGCTGCAGCCTCACCAGTCGCGCGTGACATAGGCCCGCTGGTGTCTGTGTGTCGTCAGTCGCCGTCCGCCGACCCGTCGTCACCTCTGCCCCCTCCCCTCCCCTCTCCCCTTCCGGCCGGCGGCGTCTGTGTCACCCGCGTCCGCCTGGCGACTCTGAGCCTGCTTTCAAGCGGAGCGGCCGACCGCGTCTCACAGAGACGGCCGACTGTCACAGCATCATCAGCGTGAAAGGCGACATTTGCATCTGTGAAAAAATGAATGCATGGAGAATGGCACAAAAGCCGGCGCAGTCTGGATCCGATCGGACTGAAACGCGCCGGAAATGTCAACGGGCGCAGCGCGCGGCCGGACCAGCGCAGCTACGGAGGACGTGTTCGCAGAATTCCTTGGGCGAATCACTGAACCGACGCTCGCCATCACTTCCGAATGCGGCCATTAGCCATCGATTTGTGTCATAAATCTTGGACGAGGAAGAATTGAAACCAGAGTGCGATCGCTTGGTCGTAGTTACGAACATCTATCTTTGCGAGTTAAATATGAACGCTCCCGAATTCTGATCCCAGTGTTCCTCCCAGCGAAAGGGGAGCTTCATACTTAGATGTCATCGTTATTTAAACGCTGATCATGCTACATTTCTACAAAATTGCCGGTGACATCGTACATCATAACATGCTTGCAGATTTTAATTACATATATTGCAGATTTCACTGACGCCATTTATACGCACTGTCACCCTTCCAAACCATCATCTGCAACTGATGATTTAATTAAAATCCCGACACTCCCTCTGACTTCTTCCGACTCCGGGCTGTCACCTAACCCTGACTCAGCCAATCTGCACGCATGAGCGATGTCTGTCGTACTCGGCTAATTGACGACGGCGACGGGAGAGGCGCGGGCGGCGACGATCCGACGCGTCCCCGACCGACGGGAGGCGGGCGCGTGCCGTCCCGTCGGCGGCTGTCCGCCCGGCCGTCGACGCCGGCGGCAGTCGGCCGACGGCTTCCGGCGCGCGCGGGACCAGAGGAGGGGAGCGCTGAGCCCGCCGCGGACCGGGCAGGGCCCTGTGACGAGGCAGAGACGCGAGACGCGCCCCGTGGCGCGCAGTGGCGACCCAGCGCCGCCGCCGTCAGTTGTCAGTCGCTCAGTGAGGCGATAGGGCCGCTCTATCACGCTGTCTCGGCGGCCACATCGGACGGAGTCAAGCGCGCGGCGCGCGGCGCACGCACACGCGTCGGCCGTGTGTATAGGAGCGGTACGGCGACTGGGCCCGACCGCGTCACCTGAGCCTATTATTGTTTGGCGTCGTTCGGCGCCGTGTTTATGGCGGCGGCAAATATTTTGCCAATGTTTCTAAAATAGAGCGGAAAGGTCGCTCGTCTTACCTGCGGCGCGCCGAGCCGGCCGGTTTTTGCACGTGCGGCCGACTTTGTAAACAGCTGGGCGGCGCGAGTGCGCGCGAGCGCCGCGCGGCGGACGGCGGACAGTGAGGCGCACATCGCTGGCCGGTGCTGGTCGTTCGTGCTGGTCGTATGCGCTGGTCGCGCTGGTCGTGTGAGCTGGTCGTGCTGGTCGTATGAGCTGGTTGAGCGGAGAGATGAAGTGAACGTCAGATCAACAACTGTGAATCTCTCAGACGAGTGAGGAGGTGTGGTGTTACTGGAGCGGGAACTGCTCGAGTGGATTGGTGTCTGGTGAAGACGGCAGTGGTGCAATGGTGATGCATTAGTGTCTCGCTGCAGGAGACAGGCGTGGATAACAATCAGTCGCGATATTGCCGGAGCTGGCTGTGTTTGCGAAGCCATAGCGAGGCGTATGCACTGACGCGTGACCGAATATCGACGTTCTGCTTCATCAAGAGCTGGTGGGCGGTGATCTCTGTGTTTTCTGCGACTTCTATCGGTTCCAGTGAAGTGTGCAGGCTGACTGGCAGTGGCGGCAGTGTTCCTCTGTGTCTGAGGCGGTGGTGATGGCGGTCTCGGGCGGGGCCGAGCCGCCCCTCTCCCCCGACTCGCCCCCCGCTCTACCCGTGGTGTACGAGCGCGACCCGCGCCTGCACGACTGCGCGCTGCTGCTGCAGAACTATGTGCAGGCGCAGCAGCAGCAGATCAGTATACTGGAGCGCAGCCTCGCCGACATGGCGCGCAACTTCGGCCAGAGGGAGCAGGCCCTGCTCGGCCAGATCCGCGACCTCACCCACCAGCTCAGCCGGCTGGCAGCCGAAAAGGTCGGTCCAAGGGAGATGAGGAAGGGCTGGGTCAGGGTATGCGAGAGGAGAGAAGACTCTAGCCCAGTCAGATCTGCGACTTCAACCACTAGCTCAGCTAGTGGGTGAAGACCTAAGTGACCGGTCAGCTGGGTGCATCCAAAATGGTCGGTCCATGGGGGTTAGATAAGGAAGTAAGAGGTTAGGAGGGGAGAGGAGAGGAGAGCTGTTCGGTCAGAGACGCGAGCTTACTCTCCAATCCAACAGGATCGAATGATCGGTCCATGGGGGATGGGGAGGACTGGAGCCTGGTCTGGGGGAGAAAAGCCCCACCAATCAACTGGATATCAGGTCACCTTGGAGAAATCCCGTCAGGACAGCAGGATGATGCCGTGCATGATGCATATGTTGTGCTCACCAGCAGACATGTGCATGGATCCGAGTGCTGGATCTATGATCTCAGTGGATCTCGGAGCAAACTGCAGGCTAGGATCCATGATCTCAACGGATCGGGCATGAAAAACTTATCCTGGATCTATGATCTCATAGGATCTGACGATAAAACAAGAACGTGGATCTATGATCTGAGTAGACCCCGCCATGCAAAACATTTGAGGTTTCCAAGTGTTTTTTAGTCAATAAGTGCAAAAAAATATGGATTATGACGTGCAATCACATAAAATCACTAAAACATGACGTTTGTGAGCTGCAACAAGTGATTTTTTTTATGTTTCTGTGTTGACACGTAAATGAGGGTCTATGATATCAATAGATATCAAGCAAAAAATTAGATTCGGAATGATCCCTACGGATGATATTTATTCACTTTCGATGATAACACAAAAGCAAATATTCTAAATAGCCAGACGTTTCGGCCTCAGGGTGCCTTCGTCAGTGACAATACCGAGATACTAATACATTAATAAATTAATCAATATAATCTTTTACACTTTCAAAATACACATCTACATATCAAAATACACTTTCTAAATACACATTCATATGTGTATTTTGAAAGTGTAAAAGATTATATTGATTAATTTATTAATGTATTAGTATCTCGGTATTGTCACTGACGAAGGCATCCTGAGGCCGAAACGTCTGGCTATTTAGAATATTTGCTTTTGTGTTATCATCGAAAGTGAATAAATATCACAATGTCTGACACGATACATCCCTACGGATCTCTGGACAAATCAAAGAGCTGGATCTATGATCCCGTCGGATCCTAAATCAAGATCCGTGGGATCAGATCCCAGATCCATTTTCTCAGATCCAACACTGAAAACTTTTTTACCACCTCCTGGAGGATTCATTTTTACCGAACCCGCAAGACAAGAGTATATTTAAAGGGTACGTCGCTGCTACCATTATGTGCATGGTAACGGTACGTGGGTAAATTGAAGTTATTCGCCAGCAAAGAGTATTATTACCATGTAAATATCAATAGGTATTACTCTCGCAATCCTGAACAGGACGAAAACTCTTTCCTCCTAGGTATTGTGACTCGTGTGCAGGTGGTCGTTCCATGCGTGGATCTTGTTTACCCTCGTGAATATAATATTTGAAAGAGTATCAATCAGCCAATCAAAAACGAGATCGGCCGTTTGAAGGTTGAAGGCCGCGCGCATCTGTCAGTTTTCCGCCGTTAGTCTCCGAGAGAGGGTGTGCGCAGTGTCGGTGTGGCGCGAGGTGGCCGTTGGTGATTGTGCTTGTGTGCTGTTCATCGCCTATAGAGCCTCTGCGGACATTTTATTGTAAGTACCGATGTGATGGAGCATTACGTGCTGTTGAGTGGTGCTAGTTTGATCTGGCTTACAGATCCCGCGCACGGCCACGTGGCAGAGTGTTGTAAGTATAGGTGCATAAACTTTGTTGTGATGCATTTTGTTGGTGACTTAGAAATAGATATATACTGTAGTGATGCAGTTTTATTATCCCACGTAGACGGGCGACCATCCAGGAACGCTGCCGTTCACTTCAAATGTTGTGGGCTGGGCCTTATCCAATTTGAGGGAGCTGAATTCTTATTCATATTCAAGCATTCATTTTGAGTATTCGTATTCAAGTTGCATTCAAGTTGTATCGTGATGTTTGTTTACCGCGTGTGCATCGCTGAACGCGTATGAATAAGTGGAGTCTCACAATGTTCATGGCTGCAGTGAACCCCTCGTATTGTTTGTACGGAATGCCAAATATGTATTGTTGCTCTTGAAGCATGTTTTTTAGTTGATGAGCTCCGGTTAACAGAAGCTTCGCGAAGCTTCTGAAGAGCGTCTGTGGGTCCGTTACCATCCTCTGGGGGGTTTACACTAAAGGAAAGCGTAAACATTACCATGTCACTAAGGGTAAGCCAGAAGAATATGCTCTCTGTAAGGTGGTAAATCACAGAGTAGATGGCATGCTACTCTTTAGAGGAGGGTCCCGTTAAAAAGTTACCCTTCCACAGCGTGTAACTTCGAAAATGTTGCCCTCTAGACGAGAGTAAATCAAAAGAGTTTACCATACAGAAGATGGTAAAAAACGTCTGTGTGTCACGTTACCCCTCCCTGACGAGTTTACTCTCCATGAAAGAGTAAAATTTACCATCTGGAGGGTGGTAAAAAACGTCTGTGTGTCAAGCTATCCGTCGAGACCGTTGTGACGCATACCGTACTTTTGACGTATAAAGTTTTATAGTGTTTCGAGCTAGCCTGAGCTAGGCTGAGTTGTCTCACCTTTCAAGTGATCGGCTGTGATGTATCACATTAGTGTTGCAGTGTACTTGCGTTGTTGTTTCGACAATACAGAGCATACTTATGAAGACAGTGAATGTTGGTTGTTGGTTGTATTATAGGACTGCGTAGAGAATAGGTGTTAGTGTCTGGTATTCGTGTCATTGATGTGTAATGTTGCGCTCACCTTATATTTTTCATTGACAATTTAAAAAATTAGTGGGGATACAAATCCACTTTTCCGCCTAATTTTTAAATTTTCATGTCAAATAAGGTGCCTCCACGGAGAACACGATACGAGTTTACTCTGTATGGTAGGGTAAACCATTACCCTTGCAATGACTCCTTGCAAGAGTGTAAAATTTACTCCGATGTGAAGGGTCAGTTGGATTTTTTACTATTCTCGTCGGGGTAAATACCCAAGGAGTACAATTATTTTACCCTACTGACGATATTTTAGGGGACGTGTTATTCTCGGAACGAGAGTAAATTGAAGAAGTTACCACCTGGGAAGGAGTAAAAACAAAGTTTTTACCCTCTCGAGAGTGGTAAAAAACGTCTGTGGACGTCTTACTCTTTCCTGGAGGGTGAACTCCCCAGGAATGAGTATATTTACTCCATGGTGGTGGGTAAAATCAAAGTGTTACCCTTCAGCCAAGAGTAAAACAACGGATTTACCACCTGGGAAGGAGTAAATACAAAGTTTTTACCCTCTGGAGAGTGGTAAAAAACGTCTGTGGACACCTTACTCTTTCCTGGGGGTTAAACTCCCCGGGAAGGAATATATTTACTCCGTGGTGGTGGGTAATACCAAAGTGTTACCCTTAAGTCAAGAGTAAAATAACGGATTTATCCTCTGGAAGAGAATAAATTAGAAGAGTTTACCCCGTGGTACGTGGTAAAAAACGTCTGCGTGCCTCGTACTCCCTCCCAGCGGATTTACTCTCCAGGGGAGAGTAAAAAAGTTTTCAGTGAAGCACATGTCTGCTCACCAGGATATGAGGAACTTGCGAGGTCTGTGCGAAGCATGATGTGCTGCCCTCAATGAAAAGGAAAGAGAATACGCTAGATACACGCTTTTTCACGCAATACACACTGACCGTGTGAAGTGAATAAAGGCACAACGAGGCTGGTAAGACATTGAAGCCATGTTTACGGTTTTTTAGCTTTATACGCTGAATATTTATTTTCCTTGGCCATTATTGCTTAAAATGAAAGTTCACTTGCTTTGCAAAGATTTATGCTTAATCAAACAATCATACTTATATGCAATAATTTTTTATCGCAATATTATTTATTTTCATTGGTATGAATTACTTGCATACGTATACTCATTTAGTCGTATGCACTATGCATACAGGCCACTCTTTGTTTCATGTTTAAGACGTTGAGAAGATTCATAAATACTAGAGCAGTTTTGAATATGCGAACAGCCTAAGCACATCCTGACATTTTTATATCCGTGAGAAGTGCCTCAGCTGATTTGTTGATCTCTCTGAACAATGGGAGCATTCAGCATGCATATCCAAGGAGTTATTCTTCTACATTAATATAACTCGTCACGATCCCCCTGAAAATCCTTCCAGCGAAAGTCAAATGCGCAGCATCCCAGGCATCCTGTCGACTTTGAAGCAGCGCCCCTCATTTCATGGCCGCCGACCGAAGATCGCGGCTTCCCGTAACTGCTGCGTCGGGCAGCCGATTTATGAGGCCTCCGTGTGTGGTTCTGCGACCCGGCGATACTGCCGTGAGTAACGGCCGTCGCGACGGCGGCGACGGCTGCCTACTGGTGCTAGGTCGGGAGTGAACCGGACCGAGCCGCTGCACCCGGTCAGCTAACCGGACAGCGCACGTGGTCGGTGACACGTGGCACGAGCGGCCGGCACGACATGCGGTGATGATGACCCGTTGGCGGGGATGAAGGTGTTACGGGGAGAGTGGTCTAAGCACGCGGTGATGTGCTGAATGGAAACGTGCCTCGAGTAGAGTTGGTATGTTAACCATACCAAGTATGTTTACCATACCAACCTGGACCCAATATTAGTGCTTACTTTACTTTTGACCATTTATCTATCCCTAATGTTTTATTAGATGCATCCCTGACCCAACTCCCAGCTCAACCCAACATCCCCTTGCAAACCCCTTGTAAGGGAATCCCATCTGTAGCTACGTCTCTAGCCAACAAGTAATTGATAAAGTTTTGGTGACAGTGACTGCCGGGATTTGTAAGGCCATCGCAGCCCCAGCGGCTGAGATAACGCCGGATGCTGTGTACTGTCTATCACAGCGATTGATGGGTCATCGGCC